GGGCAGGTGAAGCATTTCGATAGACAATATTTCCAGAACAAAGGGATTAAAGGCTTCTAGATTTTGTCAACAATTACTTTCTCCTGCCAGAAAAATCTATTGTAGAGGCGCCTAATTTTTCATGGAATGGATATGTGTATAACACTTATGAAGAGTCTAAGATTCTACTAATTTCCAAGCCGTTTGAGAAGAGGGGAGTAAATCTAATTTTTTTGTATATAATTGCAAATAAATTTGTTGACTTATCTATTTTGTATTCTTTCAACTCTTTTTGATGGCAATGTTGTTGTTAGAAATTTTAGCTATAATATGTTGTTGTTACAATATTTAGTGCAGATCAGGAAGCTTCAACAATCGCGACCAGGATATGTAGGGCGAATCGAAATTGCTTTGTATTCCTGAAAGGTTTTGATAGTCATATTGTCTCCTGGATGGGAAGGGTAAAGGAAGGTAATTCAGATATGTTATGCGTTTTATTGAAAATGTTGCGGATAACAAGAGTCACCACTGACTTTTCTTTTATCCAATAAGGAAAGGGTGAAAAGAACAGGAAAGACCTTCGAGATTTTTGAGTTCGAGGGGTAGGGTTATGAAAAAGGAAGGTGTTAGTACCCTTTTCATTCGTAGTTATCTACGGGCTCTTAATCGCTTAGCTCGCTTTGTTTTGAAAATTGCTTTGTGTTGTGCATGTTTGAAAATATTTTAAAAATTCCAATTGTAAGACAACTTTGTAATGACTCTCATATTTGTCCTCGAGAACGCATACAAAGGGTTTTTGAAATATTTTTGAAGAGTGTTTGTAAAAATGTTTTTTGTTTTGAAGAGATTTGTGAGCAAGCGATTAACAGCGGTCTACCTACTCAAGTCGTTCTTGTACTTTTCCTCCTCCTTTAGATAGTGCTACCCTACCATTAGTTAGTAGGAATCCCTATCGTCAAATGTGAAGGGACAGGAGAGAGTCGTCGTACAGTCATCGAAGGCAACAGGTAATCACGCTTTAGAATTATCGTTTAAGGTACTAGATCATTTACCAAAGGCAACGGCGAAAGGTTCAACGAGGGACTATGATCTTTTGTATCGGAGGGGCTTTTCTAAAGCGTCCCCACGTTCGAGGGTCATGATTGTTTAATCGAAAAGAAACAAGAGAGGCTACCCTAGAGGTGTGCATGTGTTTTGTATTCAGTTTTTTGTCTTGAAGTTAGGTTATCTATCAATTTGTTTTTATCTTTTCATACAATCCTAATTACTAAGTAGTAATACAGCAAGTATAAAAAAAAGACAATAAAGTTACGGAATATAAAAGCAAAAAAGATAAACCTAAACCTATTACACGGCTTGGGGCAGTTACATAATAGAAAGCGGAAAATAAAAACCCTAAGCTATTATAATCCGGGAAACAGTTACATAATAATGAAAAAGGAAAGTGGGAAATCTAAGCTATTACAAATTGTGAACCCCATACACTTTATCTATGAAAATTAAATTAAATTAAAATAGAGAAGAAAAAAAAGAAATATTTTTGATGATTTTTTATGGAAAAGGTTTTTTTTAATGATGATTAAAATATACCTAAAAACTAATTAATTTTAATTAACAAAAATAATTGATTAAATAAATTAATAAAAACGGTTAATGATAAAAAAACCTAAAAATTAATTAATTTGAATTAACAAAATGATTGTTAGATAAATTAATAAAAAAGGTTAATGGTGAGAAAACCTAAAAAATAATTAATTTTAATTAAAAAAACAATTAATTAATTAAATTAATAAAAAAACCTAAAAATTAATTAATTTTAGGGTTTACAAAAGAAATAATTATTTTAGAATTGTAAAAAAAAGGTTTGTGTTTTATGGTTAGGTGAATTTAGGGTTTAAGGGAAAAAATAGGGAAAAAGAACAAGTTGGAAGCAAAAGCACACAAAATGTCAGAGGTGGGTGTTGAACACACGCCCTTAGCCTTCCACAATGAATTAAGGGGAAATAAATAGGGAAAAAGAACAAGGTAGAAGCAAAATCATACAAAATGTCAGAGGTGGGTGTTGAATCCACGCCATTAGCCTTCCACACTGCATTAAGGGAAAAATAAGGGAAAAGAACAAGTTAGAAGCAAAATCACATAAAGTGTTAGGGGTGGGTGTTTGAACCCACACCCTTAGCCTTCATCACTGTCTGTCTTGCCTCTGCGCCAGAACTCACATATTATGCATTAAACCTGCTCTAATGATGTATATGAACACATGTAAACGTATTAAATTAGTTAACAATGCATAAATTAAAGGTTTGAATTAAAAAAAAACTACTGAAATCGTGAGGATGAACCTGATGTTCTGGGCACGATCTTGACTGCTTGAGGATTGGGATGGACTCTTGGGCACTTCAAGATGATAATGCAGTGCTTGGTTTCAATTGAGAAGGGCTTGAAGCAAGGGTTTTGAGTTGCCCTAGTTTCTTGAATTTTTAAAGTTTTGGAATAGTTTTCTCTACAAGGTTTCGTGTGATGTTATGTCTGAATGAAGAGAAATATATATACACTACGCCAAAAACGAGTTTTTGCACCGCTACATAGACAACGCTTATGCAAAAGCGCTGCTGTAGGTATCCAAAAAAAAAAAAAACTTTAGACAGCGCTTAATAAAAGCGCTGCTATAGGCCTTATCAAAGGCAGCGCTTTTTCTCCCTAAGCACTGCTATAGGGTTTTAAAAAAAATAAAAATTAAAAAATTAATAAAAGCGCTGCTAAAGGGTATGCTTTAGACAGCGCTTTTCAAAAAGCGCTGCTAAAGGTGTAAGTCTAAAAGCGCTGCTAAAGGGGGGTAAACCTAAAGCGCTGCTAAAGGGGGGTACCTTTAGCAGCGCTTCTTGAAAGTGCTGCCTTTGTGTAAATCTAAAAGCGCTGCTAAAGGGGGGGTAAGCCTAAAGCGCTGCTAAAGGGGCGTACCTTTAGCAGCGCTTCTTGAAAGCGCTGCCTTTGGTTTGTTAATTTATTTCTAAACCCCTAAATCAGATTTCTAGAAACACAAAATTAAACCCATATCGCTGTTCATCTTCTTCTCCATTCGTCTCCTCCCAAACTCCCCCTGTCTCACTCCATTACTCCCTTTGTTCCGTCATCTCTCAAACCCTCCTCTCAACCGCTTCATCTTCATCGTTACCAACCACCACCATCAATTGTCAACCGTCTCCATCCTTCATCCCTTCGTCGTCCTCTAACCATTACCCTCCCACGGTAGAACCTTGCGAAGACACCGTTCACATATCTCTCCTCGGCGCCACTATTCACTCTCTTGTCATTGCATTTTTACACCCTCAGCTTCTGTTTGTTTTCATCGTTGAAGGTAAGAGCTTCTTCATCTTCTCTGATTCAGTTTGTTTAGGTTATTCATGCTAATTCCATCTCTAATTTGCTTATACATGTTATGTTATGATATTGCAGGCTCAGAATATGGATGGTTTCCGTGTAGTGACTTGTCAATCCTACAACTTTGTTGGAGAACCTTTCGAATCAGATGGCTTCTTCTTCTGCAGTAGCTGCAGAGAGAAAAATCAGGATGCTTTTGATAATGGTGCCGAAGAGGAAGAAGCCTTCGGTACCGCCGGTGGTATCTACCTGCCCAGTCACCAACGTCGGGCATCTGCTCATTCCGAAGCAATTGATGTTCCCCCCATCTCACAATATGATCCATTATCCCAATCCAATTTACTTTCCAGCCTTGGCTTAATTGAAGTCAAACAAGAGAATGTTGACCTATCTCACTCCCATTTTAGTCCCTCAACTCCTGCTGATTTTGGAGGCTCCAATGTTCCTAGCTCTGAGGATTACCACAATGAGATAAGGTTGCGTTATGTGTTTGGGCTGCAAATTATGATTGAGCTTCAATGTGAAGCTCTGGTGAAAGAGTTTAAGTTTACCCCTTTGATATGTGGCTTGGTTGGACCAATTTGGTTGAGATTTGTCGCCAAGACTGGTGTTTTCGACGAAGACTGGGCTAATAAAGTACTTCATGACTCTGAGATGCAGAAAGAAGGTAATGATATGAAGTTTAGTTTTTCCGTTTATATTTCTGAATTTACTTGTATCACTATTCGTTTTTATGTGAATAAATCATTTTCTCAATATAAGTTTCAACTTTTAATGCATATTCTTGATTTGGATTGATGGAGCATGATTTCCCGATTATTTATTTTGTTTATTTGCTTGCAACATATGTAGGGATATGGTCTTGTTCATGTGAGGTTTTCATTGCATTGTTTCTATTGAATTTTCAAGAAATCTGATATTTAACTGAAAGTTTAACTCTCACTAGCATCTTTCATCTGATTAGGTGCATCTTACCTTGGCATTTATTAAGTAAGCTTGGATTTGTGCCCTTAGTTATTGAATTTAGGGTAAGAACAATAAGATGAGAGGAGGAACTTGATAATTTTTCATGTTAATCAAATGTCTAATGTAGTTTCTTTACGCACCCAGAAGATGTTTGATTTATTTTCAAGTGTATATTATAATTTGTTAAATTTCTTGCTTTCATGTTCTCAGGAGATCCAGAAGATTATAATTCACGCGGTAAATACATATCAGAACCTCGCATCAACGGCACAATCACCAACACCATTTCTGTTTTTGCTAAGTGAGGATAGCTCTGCCAATGACATTGATGCAAACTCCGCAGGTATGTCTTCTTCGAGTTATTATCACAAACTGAATATTTTATATTTCTAAACAGGATTTAGTCTTAAATTTCTGTTGAATATATATTTGATGAAATTAATTCATGACCAGCACACTGTCACAAATGCTTCCTGCACAGAGGATTTTGATTTCAATTTTAATATTAAATGTTTTTCTCTTCATATGATTTGCTGGTTATTGATTTTTAGTTGTCACATAATCTTCACCACTGTCATTTTTCTGAGGTTGTGAATTAAGTTGATTCTTTTATCTCGATGTACTGTATGTTTGGGTTTCATCTTTGATTTGTCAAAAGCAATTCTAGAGGTGTAAATTGATTTTGACATGTTTGTTTTCTTTGGGCTGAGAGCGTACTCAGTTAAGAATGAGATATAATTGACCGAATTATTTCATTTTCCCCCTGGGAGAGTTGACACAGTAGCACTGTAATCCATGCCCACTATATTTGAGGAAGATGCAATGGTGCTACCATACTGAAGATGGCCTACAATGAATGCTCTTTGTTGCTTTTCTATTTGGCTGTGACTGTGAGAGGTTATATCAATTGTGATGCTATGAAATTCTGTATGCATGTTGCTAAATAACCTAGAAATAGAATTCTCGATGGACGAATTTGACCTGTTTAAGGGGTTACAACGTATCTGTTGCTACTTGCTAGAACCTGCATACTTTGTAGGATTTAGTGGTATTTGTTTTCAACATAGAGAAGATAATTAATTTTTTTTAGTGAAAATATGGAAATTTCAACTCAGCAAGTACAATTTGAAAACCTAAAATACTGGGAGAATGGAAGATGCCAAGGCTGGGTCAGATGGGTCATACATAGTAATTGTTTTTTTTCCTAATTGCAATTCCTTGAGATACAAACTGTTATTTGAAAGTGACAAGTTTAATTAACATTGCACTTATGATAGTCCATGTGAATGTCTCATTTTAGGATTGCTGATGCCGAGGAAAACTTAGGCGAGAGTGAAGTCCGTGAGGCTCACTTGGCAAAGTCCTTGTTTTTCATCCGGATTGGGGACAAGGTATGCATTGCTATTATAATTTATTGCTCATTTCCTTTATGCTATTGGAATCAAGTCATCACTCTAGCCTATGTATTAGGAGAAAGCCCTGGAACATCTCAAGATAACAGAAACCAAGACTGTTGCAGTGGGCCAGAAGATGGACTTGGTGTTTTATACGCTGCAGCTTGGTTTCTTTGACATGGATTTTGATCTAATTTCCAAAAGCATTGACAAAGCTAAAAGGTAATTATTTAAGTTTCATATATCTGTAGTTATATCCTTTGCTATGTTTTTGTTTTAAGAATTGGCTTTCTAATTGTTTGCAACATTATGACAGCTTGTTTGAAGAAGGTGGAGATTGGGAGAGGAAGAACAGACTGAAAGTGTATGAAGGCCTATACTGCATGTCCACTAGAAATTTCGAGAAGGCTGCAACATTGTTTTTGGATTCTATCTCCACCTTTACAACCTATGAACTTTTTCCATATGACACCTTTATATTTTATACCGTTTTGACAAGCATCATAACACTGGATAGAGTTTCCTTGAAGCAAAAGGTACATCAATTTTTTCATGTCGCCTTTACATTGTTTATCCTTTTCTTGTAACTGCTGCTCATTGTTTATTGGGTCGCGTTATGCTTCAACTTAAGCTAATTTGCATCAGGTAGTGGATGCTCCTGAGATCTTGACAGTGATTGGCAAGATCCCGCATCTGTCAGAGTTTTTGAACTCCCTGTATGATTGTCAATACAAGTCTTTCTTCTCAGCATTTGGTGAGTAGACACTGTAAAACTCAGTTTTTTTGTGATTTCACACAAAACATTTTATGCATAGTTAATTTTTGGTTGTTATAATTTGGGAACAAGTACTCACAAATAGTTCATTTCAATCTTTGTAGTGCCATGTTCACAGTTTTGTTTCATTTTGTAATTCTTATCAGCTGGCTTGACGGAGCAAATTAAGTTGGATCTCTATTTGCATTCACACTTCAGGTATTACATGAGAGAGATCAGAACTGTGATTTAACAAATGATAGAGCTTGAATCAATATTTCCGTCCGTCTTTTGCATCTTGATGAAATGTCAAAATTTTACTTGCCGTCAATGTTGATCTATGACTTTGTTATTACTATAGAGACATGCTCGATCTGAAAAGCTACACAGGGAAGGCGGACTGAAGGTCATGCTCAATAGTGATGGTGAAATAGAGAACCAAGAGGATTCAGACAAAGAAACCGAAGATACCGAGGTTGGTTCTTCAACAGTTTGACTGCATTTGCAACTCGGTTAAATGAAAATATTAGACCTATCAGATTGAAGAAACCAATTTATTAATACAGCCATGTTTGTGTATGGAATTGAGACTTGACCATTGTTTGCTGATTTTGTTGTACAGGAGCTACTAAAGCCACTTAAAAATGTGGTCCCTTGGTTACAAGAAATATTCACATGGGAAAGACCAATACATACTCTTGCTGTTCTTGTTGCATCCCTAATAATCACTTATATGTAAGTTCTTATTTTATACACTATATTATGTATCTATCAAATGGTGTTGTTACATTGTTTATGATTGAGTTTTGCAATGCAGGGAATGGGTTGGAAAGGGAGCTGCAGCATTCTTGGTATGGGTGATAGTAAAGATGCTTGAGGCAAGAGAGAAAAAGCTTAATGAGCAATGCAATGAGATAGTAGTCAGTAGATATGATATGGCTTCTGATCAATCTACGATGGATAACATTGTCTCAGCCCAACATGGATTTTACACTGTTCATGAGATGATGCAGATAGCAAACATAGCAATGTTAAAGATATGGTCCATACTTATTTCAAAGGCAGACAAGGTAGAATCTCTTGGTGAAAATTGAAACACTTTTACGTAATGTCCATAGCAAAACATAGCAACTCTTTTTGATAAACACAATTTGTTGTTTGTATGGCAGCATGCAAAGACAGTGATGGTGGCAATAGGGGGATTAGCATTCTTATTAGCAGTAATACCATTCAAGTTCTTCCTAATGGGTCTCATTGTGCAAAGTTTCACCATGGCGTTCAAGACAAGCAAGTCTTCAGGAACTGGGAATAGAAGGTTGAAGGAATGGTGGGACTCAATACCAGTAGTCCCTATCCGTGTAGTAGACAATGTTCCTAACTCTCAACATGCTAAATAGTTCTTTTTGTGTATCCCCTCAAAAAGAGTGTTGCTTGTGTGTGTATAAAGGGAAGGGAAGTGATAGTGTACATGACAACAGAAGACTTTAAAGATGGGTGTGTAAAGTTGTTTTATTGCATTTCTTGCTTCAACTGTTTCAATAAGAAATTTCTTGGTTGTACAAGAATTCTTTTTGTTTTGTCCAGCAAAAGGGTTGCAGAAATAAAAATACGCATATAAGAAATATGTAAGTATAGACATAGATAATATAGAAAGTGTTATTTTAAAGTTTGTCTTCTTGATATTAGTAAAGAAAAAACTAATACTAAATTAGTAAAATACGCATGTATAATGTATTCATGTACTTTTCATGAAAGCGCTGTCTAAAGTGATTGAAAAAAAAATTAAAAAAAATGAGGAAAATGCTAAAGGGGGGTAATAGACAGCGCTTTTCATGAAAGCGCTGTCTAAAGTGATTAAAAAAATTAAAAAAAAATGAGGAAAAGCGCTGCTAAAGGGGGGGTAATAGACAGCGCTTTTCATGAAAGCGCTGTCTAAAGTGATTGAAAAAAAAATGAAAAAAAAAATGAGGAAAAGCGCTGCTAAAGGGGGGTAATAGACAGCGCTTTTACCAAGCGCTGTCTAAAGTGATTAAAAAAAAAGCGCTGTCTATACCTTTAGCAGCGGAGGTTTTAGCAGCGCTTTTAAGCGCTGTTAAAGGCCTAAAAAAGCGCTGTCTAATCCCTTGTTTGGCATAGTGATAGAAGAATTAAGTTAAATCATTGTGGGCTTGGACCTTGTAAGAAACGTCTTGACTTTATCTTATTTAATTTTGAAATTAAATAAATAAAATAAAAAATAAATAGAATAAAAATCAAAGGGGTGTATGAATAGGTTCAGAGGTTCACCATGAGGCCTAATACACGTTTGTACCTTGAAACACAAGCTCATTAGCCCAAAAACTCGTGTTTTATCAATTTGGGTCTCATACATTTTATTAAATTTTCCCAACTTGTGCCAATCACAAATCTCTCAATTTGTGTCATATGAAGGTGATTTTGAATTTTTAGAAAGCTCAAGATGTCCCCTACAATCTCCATATTTATCATTTTTTTCATTTGAAGACTTTATCTTGACGTAACTTTCCTTGACAAAAAAGTGTGTTTTTGTTAACTTTTGGAATGACCTATAACGTTTTGGCCCATATCTCTCAAATGAATTATTTTTTGGACTTGAGCTTAGAGAGTTAAAGTTGTAGAGAATTGAATTTCCTTCAAAATGAGCTTTGGTTGAGAAAAATATGATGAAGCATGTGAAAGTTATGCTTGGTCAATGTTTAGTTGACTTCTCCTTAAGAAACCCCTAATTTGGAAACTTTTGACTTTTGATGATTTGAGAGTTTTTCTTGATGAATCATGATCAACCTTTGATCGAATGATGAATATGACTTCAAAATCTTGATGTTGACCAAAATTATTGAATTTTGACTGTATGTTGACCATAGTTGACTTTTTATCGAATACCGTTTATTTTTAGTCATCTGAGCCACTGACTGAGCAAACTTATGATTCAAGGCTTGAAATTTGGCATGAGAATTCCTTGAGACATGTGAGAAACCATGGGAACCACTTGAGGCCTTAGAAACTCAATATTCCATGAGAAAAATGAAACCCTAGTTGTAAGTCCATTGCTTAGGAAGAGAATTGTCTAATCAATTCTTGAGCAACCTTGAGCATTTGAGAATCCTAGGGAATGTCTTGAAGAAAAAGGGAGGGAAAATATTGGGGTACAACATCTTCCCTTGTTCAATCTTCTTAAACCTGAAGAGTTAGATTGGCATGTTCGACATTCGTGATCTGAAGGTGGAAGAGGATTGAATACTTAAGTGCCCAGAAATTTGCACTTGCATGTGCAGGAGGTAACGTTGTTGGTCAATAATATTGCTTGAATAAGCTTAAATATGTCATTCGGAGAAGTGACAGAATGTCGTTGGAGATGGGCTTATAGATTCCATCAAAATAGTTGTTGATAGGAGTATCAGAATGAGTCTACACTTGACCATTATTTGAGGAATGCTTTCCAGAACGAACATTTGGGGAAGGTGCTTAAGTAGATGCTTGTAAGATTTAGTCTCTGAGGAAAATGCTTGTCAGATTTAGTCTCTGAGGAAAATTCTTGTCATGTACATAGTCATCGTGTCCTGTTTTTGGAATTGATCCACATTCTGTTTCTGTTGGTAAACTCATCTTGTTCCGGGAATTCATACCACCTGGTCATGTTGATATTTTCTCCGTCCTATTTCGGGAGTTAGTCTTTGCTTGGTTATAAAGATAATTTCCCTATCCAGTTTCTGGAGTTAATCTTTGCCTGGTTATACAGATAGTTGCCCCGTCTTGTTTCGGGAATTAATCTCTGACCTGCTTTCTGTTGGCGAACCCGTCCTGTTTCGAGAATTCACACCACCTGGTCGTACAGATAGTTTCCCCATCTTGTTTCGGGAATTAATCTCGGACCTGGTCATACAGATAGTTGCCTCGTCCTATTTCGGGAATTAATTTTTGACTTGCTTTCTGTTGGCAAACCCGTCTTATTTCAGGAATTCATGTCGCCTGGTCGTACAGATAGTTGCCCTGTCTTGTTTCGGGAATTAATCCTGGACCTGGTCATATAGATAGTTGCCCCTTCCTTCTTCGGGAATTAATCTCTGACCTGTTTGAGAGTTTTTGATGATATTCGTTTCTTTGTGAACTTTACCTGAAAAGATAAAATTAGTCTTTATGCAATGTCATGATATATGTAATGCATTGTGTAATGATGTTCTCAAAGTAAATGAGAGTGTGCTATATGAGTTTCGTGTGCATATGTTATGATATTTGTATATGATGTATGGATGTGAGATGTCATTGAGGCGTATTGGTAGCTCTGTAATATATTCGCTAGGGAAAATAAATCCCTGACTGTCGATGGGGATGAAGAATGTGAATCTTCAATCTTATTTAGAATATCTCCACTAGGGATTCCTGCTTTCTATTTTGAGGATACTCTGTTGGGAGTGTTTGACCTCTGCTTGGGGATAGAAAAGTTCAGGAACATTGGTCGTTCATCGCTCTACTGGGGATTTTATCTCTTATATACCCTAATTGGGGATAAAAGAGATGAATAACCTTCAGTGGTGTTGTATGACTGAGTTTCCGATATGGATGTCAACTCTTCTGGGGGAGGACAAAGTTAAATGTTGTTTGGCTCGGTTTCAGATTCCGTAGCAACTCATTGGGGATAACAACCTGGACTACACTTTGCTGGAGAAGAGGATCTTGTCGGGGATTTGCAGTAATCGGGGAGATGAACTCTGCTTGGGAAATTAAATTCTGTTGGGGAAATAAACCTTGTTGGGGAAATAAACCCTACTTGGGAAATAAACCATGTTGGGGAAGTAAACCTTGCTGGAGAAGAGAATTCTGCATGGGATTTTGCAGTGTTGGAGAAATAACTCAGTTGGGGAATTAAATTCTTGTGAGTTGTACTAAGGGAATCCTTTCTGATGGGAATTTGGATTCTGTAGGCTGTGCGGAGGAAATTTCCATTATATCCTGGAGAAATGATTAGACTCCTTTATCTGCTAGGGGTATTTGTTGGGGAGTATGATTATGTAAACTGCTGGAAGATGCCCCAATTCCTACCTGGAGGCGTATTAGACTTGCAGGGGGAATGTATCTCCGTCGGGGATGAGCTTGTGAAGGTAACTCTGGGGATAATCCCATGGAGGTTTCTCTATGGGGATTTGTGGATGACTTGAATGTTATCCCAATTCCTAGAGTCTTTAGCAAATGCTTATTCCTGTTTTTATGCATATATTTGTTAACAGTAATCATATTCATATTCATATCTTTATTCAATTTAGTCATTGGACGTTGTTGCAAACAAAACAGAAAAAGGTAAAACCAAATTTGAATTCTAAAATCGTCTTGTATTGATAATTTGCCTATAAACAGACGTTTTTGTACATAGAAATAGAAATGCTAGTAAGAGAAAATCGTCATCAAATGAAAAGAGTAAAAAAAACATATAGCTATGTGTAAACGACCCCATCAAGTTTCAACTCTGCTATTGCCTTTATGTCTTCATGCATCTCATCCCTCGCTGTCGGAAGAAGTTGGCTGAATTTATTTGTACCGTTTGAACTTGACGTTGGTAACAAAGATTGTTGTAAGTAGATATCCAACAGGACATAGTCGTACGCTTTAATCCCTAACTTTTTCCTGGACCACCCTTTCGGGATTTCAGTCCACCGGAATACCCTTTTTTGCCCAAGCCACATTTTCAGGTTTTCAACTTACCGGGTGTACAATCTTTATATATATATATATATATATATATATATATATATATATATATATATATATATATATATATATATATATATATATATATATATATATATATATATATATATATATATATATATATATATATATATATATATATATATATATATATATATATATATCCCTAATTTTTGTCCGAACCCTTTTGGTTCGCCTAGATGCCCTTATTTTTTCCTAGCCCGGTCAACCTAGTGAGTCATATTCATACACAGTATTTTTGACTATGTCCGCGTTCATAGGGTGCAAAAAGTCTTCACCGTCCATGGTGGTAAGTATCATAGCACCGCCCAAAAATATCTTCTTGAATATAAATGACCCTTCATAGGTGGGACTCCATTTGATCCTGGGATCACTTTGCGGTGGGATGATGCACTTTATTACCAAGTTACCAGCCTGATATAACTGATGCTTGACTTTCTTGTTGAAGGCTTTAATCATACGCTTCTGGTACATCTGACCATGACAAACAGCCGTAGGCCTTTTCTCGTCAATCAAATTCAACTGGTCCAGCCTAATCTGAACCCACTCATCTTCGCTTAAATTTGCATTTTTCATAATCCTCAGAGAAGGAATCTAGACTTCGACAGGTAGAACAACTTACATACTGTAGACTACAGAGAATGGGATTGCCCCA